TAGCGATCTCAAACATATCGCTTGTCTCGAAGAGGAAGATAGATTACTTCTGGAAGTTGATTTCTATCCTGCAGATGTGAAAGATGTTGTTTTCAGTTGTGATGGAAATAAGTGCCCCCGGTGTCGATGGATTCAATTTTAAATTCATCAAATCCTGTTGGGAGATAGTAGGCGAGGATTTTACGAACTGCACCCTGGAATTTTTGAAACTGGTTATCTTCCAAAGATCTTCGCATCTTCTTTCATCTCGCTTGTTCCAAAGTCTAAAAATCCCCAACATTTTGAAGATTACAGGCCTATTAGTCTTGTCAGATGTGTTCTTAAGGTTATATCTAAGATGCTTGCCTGCAGACTGAGGAAGGTTATTCATAAAATTATCTCTCCTTCTCAAACTGCTTTCATCCCGGAGCGGCATATTTACGATGGTGTTCTGTTGGCTAACGAACTGGCTGACTATGCTAAGAGATTCAGTAAGGACTTCCTGTTCTTTAAAGTTAAATTTGCTAAAGCTTATGAATGTGTTGATTGGCTCTATTTAGATGGGTTTCGGTATTAAGTGGCTAAAATGGATCGGTGGATCAATTTTCAGTAGTTACGTGTCTATTCTTATCAATAAAAGCCCTTCGAAGGATTTTAGGGCTGGAAGGGGGCTGAAGCAGGGCGACCCTCTTGCTCCGTTCTTGTTCGCAATTGTTGCTGGGGGCTGTCAAGTTTGGTGAAATCAGCGGCTGCCGGCAACTTGCTATCACAATTCAAAATTAATTATCAAACCACTGTGAGCATACTTCAGTTTGCTGATGATACTCTGCTTATAGGAGATGGCTCGACTTCTAATATTTGGGCTTTCAAGGCTATTTTGCGTGCTTTTGAATTAATCTCAAGTCTTAAAATTAATTTCTCCAAAAGCTTCTTGTACGGATACGTGTAGACCCTGATTTTCTTGTGGCTGCTGAAGATTTTTTACACTACAAATCCGGAAGGTTGTCATTTAGTTTTCTTGGCATCACTGTTGGCGGCAATCATCGCCGCTACTCTTTTTGGATTCCGGTTCTGAATTTCTTGAGGAACAAACTGTCCAATTGGAATGGGAGAAATCTGTCTATGGGAGGTAGAGTAACCCTCATTAACTCGGTAATGGCTAATCTTCCTATCCATTATTTGGCTTTCTTCAAGGCTCCCAAAAAATTTGTGAAGGATATTATCGCGATCCAACATTGGTTCTTATGGGCTGGAAAATCAAGCAATAGATTCATTCCTTGGGTTTCTTGGAATTCTGTTTGTAAATCTAAGGAACATGGCGGTCTTGGAATTAAGCATGTGGGTCGCTTCAATAGTGCTCTGTTGGCAAAATGGCTTTGGAGGTTCCAAACTGGTGGTAATGAAATTTGGAGGAAGACCCTCACAAATAGATACGACAACCTGAGTATCAAGACGCAAACTTACTCCGACGTTGATATATTGAAATATGACTCGTTATGGATGAAGAATATTATGACCAATGCTTCATACAACCCTCATGCTAATTTCTGCAATTTTACGGTCTGCTCTGTTGGTGAAGGCCACAAAGTGGCGTTCTGGCTGTCTACTTGGAATGGTGATTTTCCGTTTAAAGAGAGATTTCAACGGCTGTTTCAGAGTTGTTCTAGGAAGTCGACGACTGTTCGGGATATGGGATCTTGGGATGACGGGCAGTGGACCTGGAAAATTAGAGAATCTTTGAATGATTCATATTTTCCTCCTGAACCAGACTGGACTGACTATTGTAATATGCTGGAAAATGTTTCTGTTATTCCTGACGAGTCCGATAAATGGCGGTGGCTGCTTCATGATTCTTTGTCGTTCAAGGTTAGCTCTTTACATTCAGCATTAACTTCCTCCTCCTTTGATCAAGATATTAGTTCTGATTGTGCCTTCCATCTTGAGTTTCTCTGGAAGACGGTTATCCCGATAAAATTTTAAACTTTTAGCTGGAGATTGGCGCTAGATAGATTTCCAACTAGAACTAATTTGTTGAAAAGAAGGGTGTTTGATTCTGAGCAAGATTTGGATTGTGTGCTTTGTTCTAGTAGTTTCGAGGACGTCTCCCATCTCTTCTTCTCGTGCTTTAAAGCCACGTAGGTTTGGAACAAGATTTGTGAATGGGCGGATATAGAGATAATATCGGAAACTTGTTGTTATCCTCACGCGAAGGTGTGGAACTCGAGACTTAGTGGCCGGTGTCACGCGAACAGAATAAAATCTATTTGGTTCATCACCTGCTAGAGTATATGGAGGTCTAGAAATGATTTTATTTTCAATAATGTAGTCACTGAGGTAGATGGAATTGTTTTCGACGTCAAACTTTCCTCTTGGAATTGGTTGATCCTAGGTAGGAAGGAGAGCAAGCAGTGTAGCTTGTATGATTGGTTCAAATTTCCTTTCGACTTCTTGTAATTGTTTCTTCTGGTCTGAGATTTCCTTAATCTCTTATTAATAGATTCTGCTTACAAAAAAAAACAAGTAGGTGTATTATAGCAAACCTTGCTATAATACACCCCCTTGTTTTTATTAAGGTGTGTTTTAGCAAGCTTTAACTAAAAAATGGTTAAATGCATCCTAAGGTACATGTTGCTAAAATAGACCTTCATAAAAACAAGGGGATCTACGCTAGCAAACCCTATACACACACACACACATAATCAAATCTAAGCATGTAACACTCTGTAAAAAGGTGTTTTTCATTTGTCACATATGCACTAGTAGCAAGCACAACAAAAATTAGAGCATTGTTTGCATTAGATTTTCTGCATAAATTTATAGTTCATCAAATAAATGTCAAAACGACATTCCTAAATTGACATGTCAATGAGGAGATTTACATGGAGAAATCAGAAGATTATGTGCTTCCTGGAAATGAATAAAAGGCGTGGAAGTTTGTCAAACCTTTGTGTGGATTAAAACAAGCACCGAAACAATGAAAACAAAAATTTGACTCTTTCATTCCAAGATTCACCAATTAAAGGGAGACACATAACGTAGGCGAAGACTTTTCAATTTTATCAAAACACGAACTCAAAGAGTTTTTCATCATCAAAATGGAAAGATTGTGAGGAATACGTCTTATATCTATTCAATATTGATAAAGACAAAGATTACCAAAGAAGAAAAGGTTCAAAAGTGTCATGCACATCCATGATGAAGTTGATCAAGAAGGTCTATCATAGAAATTCAGTGAAGATTCGAGACAAGTGAGAACAAATAAGGTGCTCATTGTAATTTATACTATACTACTTTAAATTGCTCATAATTATTTCTTTCACTTCATCTAAAAACATTCTTACATCATCATGCATGATTATCTAAAAATGTTTTTCATCTAATTATGGTATATTTCCTTCCATATTAGAAGGATATATTGATGTGAGTTGGATATCGAGTGTTGAATATTATAAATCTTTGTTTGGGTGGATATTTACACTAGTACGAAGTGCAAATTCTTGGAAGAGCAAGAAACAAATGTGGATCACTCTCTCAACCATATAATCAGAGTTCGAGGCTCTTACTTTCACTTGTGAAGAAGATGAATAATTGAGGGACCTTCTGTTGGAAGTTTCATTGGCTAATGACAATGTTTCCAAGGTGTTGATGTATTCTGGTAGTCAAGCTACATTACCTAGAGCATATAAAAAGTGTATAACAGAAAGTCCAGGCAAGTGGGACTTAAACATTCTTTTGTGTATAAAAGGTGTTGATATATTGATTAAAGGTGTAATAATTTCATTCACATATACTCAATTAAGCTATAATTTGCTCGATTCATTTACTAAACATTGACTAGAGATTTAGTAAAGACTGCCTCGAGAGGTATGTGATTAAAATTTCTTGACTAAGGATTTCGACAATGGTAGCAACCCAATTTGAACTTAAAAAACCTTAACCTAAGATTCAATCACTACTACAAAACAAGCCTTTCGTAACTCCAATATTACGACGGACATAGTGTTAACCGTGGTAATAGATTTATCCTTTAAGCATATATTTTTTATTTACTAGATGACATATCACAACGGTCAGAAGTAACAACCGTAGTGAAAAGTACGCGAAGTGAAATGGTTTGAATCCCATCACCAACAATTAGCCATTTCTCGTGATAAAAAATGTTATTGTCCATGTATATCACCCCAATTTTTATTTTCAACCGTGATAAAACGCGATATTTTTTTATATATAAGCGAAATTATATATCTCTTCAGTACATAACAACCATCTCTCTCATATGAAAATCCTAAAACAAAACCATAACAACAAGTCTTAGCCTGTGTTTATTTCACTTAAGAGTTCTCACATGAAATTATTTTATTATCATCTATTATATTACACATTAATTATATTTTTTCATTAAATGTAACAGTAATAAACACTAAAAACACAATTGTGAAACTCTGGTGTTGATTTTTCTCAATTGAATTAAAATTTTAGGATACACATAAACTTAACATAGCATATCATTGATTTTAATTTCATTATGTCACTAGTGAGAGGGAGTTATTAGTTTTTTTTATCAACGCACACAATTGTCAATAGTACTAAAAATAATATTTCTCAAATATAAAATACCAAAATTTCTCCAAATTCTCATTTAGTATTCAATAAACATGTGTTTGAAAAGTTACAAATAACCAACAACACATTTTTGCAGAGAAATAATGGTTTATATACATGACAATATAGGTCAACTGAGCCTTAATAAATTAACCACATTAAATGGTTTTTTACATACTTAAATTTTTTTCCAAGTAAGAATAATAAATAAGTTGAAAGATTATCTAATCATCAAGCTGGTCCAAACCCAATTCAGAGACAACACTTCCACATTGACTATCAATTGACTTAGTCATGAAACCAAGGGGATTTACGTAACGAACCAAGGAAGAGACGCCCATGTCTTTTGTGAGACCAACCCTGTCGGATTTGTTTGCCATAGGCAAAGAACATTCACCATCGTTTGATTCAGGATAAACCTCGCAAATTTCTTCCTCGTGTTCGCCATCAACTTTGATTATGTAGTTACCCTCTTCATTGGTCATGGCCTCCTTCACGACTGTCACATTGTTACCCTCTTCCTTTCTGCACGATAATATCACCTTAACATCTGCGCACGGAAACGATCAAAATAAACAATTCAAATTCAAATTATTTACTTAGATAAAACATTTAGACAACTTTTTAAATCAAAATCATCTCATATTTAAAATATAAAAAAATAAAAATAGAGATAAAAATTTGTACTTGAAAGGGGTTTGCTAAGCCTTGATTTAAATTCAAAGTGGCAAGGATCACAATAAATCTTGCCAATAACAATGAAATTTTCAGCCAAATCGGTTGTCCTAGGCGTCTTACGGACAGCCAAGACAGATGTGAAGCAAAGAGCGAAGACAATGAGAGCAATCAAAGGGAATGATCTTGTCATTTTTTTAATGATTTTTGTTGATGTTTATTTATTGTGTTGTTTTTGCTTCCCCTTGGAGTGAATAACAATAGGGTACTAGCATGTCTTATATAGTAGCATGCAAGAGACATGGTCCAATTGTTTGTGTGTGTTAATTATGGAGTTTTGATATATTTAGACTACGAAAGATTTGGTTACATTTTAATTTTCACCATTGGTTTCTTTGACTTTAACAAATGGTTGGGATATAACTTTGGAACCGTATACAAGTTTGTTTTGTTTATATAGAAAAACAAATATAGCTATTCCTATTGTTGTGGATATAATTTATTTCGATATTTTAGTTCTCAATTAGAAATTAACAAATTGATTATGTAAATGAAAAGATGAAAAAAAATTATAGTCATTATATTGATTTATTTCTGTATCGTATAAAAAAATATAAGTCATTCCATCAAAATAACCAAAAGGAAAATTAAGAGATGAAAAATGTGAGGTGTGTCCTTGATTATGTTGCTAAGTTAGAGGATGTATCTGTTTTAAGATTATCACAAACATTTTTGTAAAAGTGGAATTAAGAATATAATATTATTATGTTTGATATAAATTTATAAAAATTACTAGTAAAATACCGTAAAAAGAATTTAGTAGAGGTTAGTCAAAACTCAACGTATGGTTTTTGTGTATTTTTTATACATACACTTTTAATTTTAGTCTAACTTTGTTTCTTACAAAAACTTTGAGTAATATCTTTTAACAAATGCTATTATTAAATGTTTTAAAATTGTTATATGTTTTTAAGATAACATAAAATGCAATAATTTATGTGACTTAATCTTTTATATTTTATAGAAAAATATATATAATTTTTAAAATTATATATTATTGATTTTTTTTGAAAAAAACAAAGTCGAAAAACGATATAGCGTACGACGAGCAACCAATTCAGTCACAAGAACAAAATATGCTGCATAAATATGGACCAATAAGCCAAAAATTATTAACTAATTTATGATGTAAAGATATATTAAACTTAAATGTATTCTAAAAAATGATAAATTAATTTCTAAACTAATATTTGGGAAAATTTAATTTTTCTTTCAATTTTAAATAAATAAAATAATTAATAATATTATTAAAAATATTAATTAACATTTTTTTTAAATTTTTTATCCTAATCATCATTGTCACATCATTTAAAAATAAATTTTATATCCAATCATCAATGTCACATATACAAAATTGAAGGGGACCATCAAAATTACAACGAAAATAAATTTTAGAGATCAAAAAATTATTTTTTAAAATGAGATGAAAATTTTTTAAAAACTTTAAAATAGAGAAATCAAAAATAAAGTTATATCTATTAATATGTATAGAATTATCTAAATCTAAAATATATAAAATTATAGATTTACATGCAATTTAAAATAATTTTTTATTAATAGTTTTGAAAAAGTTGTAATATTCCACCAAAAATAATATTTTTTGACCAAAAATATTAATTATATTAATTTTAACATATTCATATATATTTATGTTATTCCATTTTTAAACATATTCTATATAAAGTATTATATGGGAGAAATATATAAGAATAAAATATTAATAAATAATGTTTGCAATACCACTTTTTGATTGGACTATATTCTCGTCAAATGTTAAATATATAAAAATCTTTAACACAAGGATTTTTAATAAACTGTTGTGTTTCTTTTTTTAAACTATAAATTAATTTTTAATATATTAATTTTTAATAGAAATCACTTTCATACATTTCGAATTATTAAGGTGGGTGAGGTTGATCGATATAAATTTAAGATGTTCATCGGGAATTCAACCGCTACCGACATCATTTTTTTTTTTAATTTTAATTTTATAAATTACTAGTGTAAACAAATTATTGGTACTTAAAAATTAATAATTTTAAAATTTTTTTTATTATAATGTAATACAAACACAATTATTATACTAATTTTGTAAAATATTATTTTCTTTAATCTTATTTAAAAGAGACAAAATACAAAAAAAAAAATTGACAAATTACTTTTTTAATCTTATTTACCAGAATTCATTTTAATTGTTTCATATATTGAATTAATACAGTCAAACAAAATTATTATAATTATTTCCTTTAAAAACTCAATATATATCTTCTTGTATGCATTGTTTATTCAATCACCTTTGTAGGCATTGTTTGTTCACCTTTCAAAAAAGAAAATGGATGCCATCTCCATTCGAGTGCATTTTCTCATTGCAATTCTATGTGTAGCTTCTGTTTTAACTCTAGGTAACAATATTACCTATTCAATATTTTTATTTTATATTTTTTTATAAAATCATTTATAATATATTCATTCTTGAAAAAAAAATTAGGAACAAGTTGTTCGACATACATAAACTTTTGTAAATAGTATTTAGTCCTAATTAAATGAATTAGCAATTAGTATTTGTGTTTTCTGTAAATTTTGTCTTTATTTTTTCATTTTTTAAATTCCAGCATTTTAATTTAGTGATTTTTTAAATTCCAGCATTTTAATTTAGTGATAAATTGTTTTAAAAAATATTCACAAAAATACTGTCCATATCTGATTTATTTATATATAAATTCAAGTTTATCTAAGTTTTTAATAATATTTTATTGATTGTAGGAGAAACAATTCATCCAATACAATTGTCGAGGTATTGCGTTGGCAGACATCGTCATGTCCAAAATCAATGAAGAATGTATAAATTTTTGTGTGTATATGAGATATTCTAAGGGTCAAGACAAATGTAATGGGCAACTTTGTTGTTTGCGATTGATATTTGTAACTTCTCTAAAAATATGTAAACACACTGCCTTTAAGACTAGGGGAATAATAAATTCATCAATTTCAACTTTAAATAATATGTTTTGACAATATTTAATAATCACTTTTATTTTATGACCGATTTGAGTTTTAAATCTAATACTTTAATTGATTGTTAAGTCGATAAATTAATGAGACACTTATACATAACTTTAACTTAATTCGAAAACTACATCTCTACTCATATTACACTTGACAACATTCTCAATTAGTTATTAATTTATTTGTGTGTGTTTTTATTTGAGAAAATATATGAGATAATTTCTTGGTATCTATGAAAAATACCCTTCTAAACTTTCATTAATTGATATATATATATATATATATATATATATATATATATATATATATATATATATATATATATATATATGGGTTTGTTAACGTAGACCTACTTGTTTTTATGAAGGTTTATTTTAATAAACTTTAACTAAAAAATCCTTAAATGCACTTTTAGGTGCATGTTACTAAAACACACCTTAATAAAAACAAGTGGATGCAATATATCAAACCTTGCTATAATACACCCCCCTTGTTTTTATTAAGGTGTAGTTTAGCATGCTTTAACAAAAAAAATGTTAAATGCATCCTAAGGTGCATGTTGCTAAAATAAAGCCTCATAAAAACAAGTGGATCTATGCTAGCAAACCCTACACACACACAAAAACACACACACACACACACACACACACACACAACTAGATCTAACCAAGTAACACTCTCTAAAAAGGTGTTTTTCATTTGACACATGTGCACTAGTAGCAAGCACAATAAAAATTAGAGCATTGTTTGCATTAACTTTTCTGCATAACTTTATAGTTCATCAAATAGATATCAAAACGACATTCCTAAATGGACATGTCAATGAGGAGATTTACATGGAGAAATCATAAGATTATGTGCTTTATGGTAATGAATAAAAGGTGTGAAAGTTTGTCAAACCTTTGTATGGATTAAAGAAAGCACCGAAACAATGACAATAAAAATTTGACTCTTTCATTCCAAGATTCATAAATTAAGGGGAGACACATAACTTAGAGGAAGACTTTTCAATTTTATCAAAACACGAATTCAAAGAGTTTTTCATTATCAAAATGGAAAGATTGTGAGGAATACATCTTATATCTATGCAATATTGATGAAGACAAAGATTACCAAAGAAGAAAAGGTTCAAAAGTGTCATGCACATCCATGATGAAGTTGATCAAGAAGGTCTATCATAGAAATTCAGTGAAGATTTGAGAAAAGAGAACATAAATAAGGTGCTCATTGTACTTTATACTATACTACTTTAAATTGCTCATAATTTTTTCTTTCACTTCATCCAAAAACATTCTTGCATGATCATGCATGATTATCTAAAAATGTTTTTCAACTAATTATGGTATATTTCCTTCCATATTAGAAGGATATATTGATGTGATTTGGATATCGAGTGTTGAATATTATAAATCTTTATTGTGATGGATATTTACATTAGTTGGGGGTGCAATTTCTTGGAAGAGCAAGAAACAAATGTGGACCACTCTCTCAACCATTTAATCAGAGTTCGAGGCTCTTACTTTCACTTATGAAGAAGATGAATGATTGAGGGACCTTCTGTAGGAAGTTTCATTGGCTAATGACAATGTTTCCAAGGTGTTTATATATTGTGGTAGTCAAGCCACATTACCTAGAGCATATAAAAAGTGTATAACTGAAAGTCCAGACATGTAGGACTTAGACATTTTTTTGTGAAAAAATTGATTAAGGGTGTAATAATTGCATTCACATATATTCTATCAAGCTATAATTTGCTTGATCCATTTAGTAAACCACTGGCCAGAGATTTAGTAAAGACTGCCTCGAGAGATATGTGATTAAAATTCCTTGAATAAGGATTCCGACAATGGTAGCAACCCAATTTGAAGTTAACAAACCTTGACCTAAGATTCAATCACTACTACAAAACAAGTCCTTCGTAACCCCAATATTACGACGGGCATAGTGTTAACTGTGGTAATAGATTTATCCTTGACGCATATATTTTTTATTTACTAGGTATCATTTCACAACAGTCAGAAGTAGCAACCGTTGTGAAATAGCCATTTCTCGTGATAAAAAAGGTTATTGACCATGTATATCACCATGATATTTATTTCCAACCATGATGAAACGTGATATTTATTT